CTGATTACAGCGTCAGTCAGCACTTCCCCCTTCCTCCTTGTCGTTTCTCTCTTTGTCCCTCTCTCTCATCTAGAGGCTGAAAGTAGGCTAATTAGGAGATGTGACTTTTTGGGTTGACTTTCGGGATCCCAGCAGACTAACTCATGACAACGCTTGTTATCTGTGGACGTTCAATGCCACGTCACCATGTCTGCCCTGCGCTGATAAGAGTTTTGCGATTTATTAAACAAGGTTGCAAGGGAGAACTTGAAATTCTTAAATGTATCTTCACAGTCAAAGACAGACGTTAACCAGCATACCATATTACTTATATCACATGACATATGGAAGTGGTCTTACAGTGTACCTTACCATGTTCCTCACCATACATAATGACCCAACTCTAGACATCACTTGTCCGCAGCATGTTTAGGTGTGTATCTTTGCAGTGCTTGTGAGGTCCTGCTGACCTTGTATCACGTATCAGCATCAGCTGTGAAACTGGAAACTGATCAACAACAAACACTTGCATGATGATTGTGATTCTGGGAATTGGGACAAACTGTATAAAGACACTTGACAAGACAATAAATACAGATTTAACAGTAGATTTGCTCGGCAAGTTCTCCATTTTTTTTACAATTTGTCATGTGTTGGTATGGTCAGTGCACTATAATCTACAAAGGCCTGACAAGCGACCAATCAAACAACAATCAACGTATAACTTCAGAGGAGTGCGATATCCTGCAGTGTATCTACCATGGGCAGCACTTGAACTTATGTCCTCACAAAGTAAGAGGACATACAGGCCTAGCTAGATATTAAGCCGACGTACTGACACTCACCAGAACGCTCCTGCTCGTGTGTGGTGTGCGAAGCTTTTACGTAAAACTATATCTTTACCATGACCCTGCGCTTCTGAGAATCCTGAGTGGGGCCACTTAAAATAGCCCTGATAGGAACCTGATGACAGCCGCTGTCTTTACAGAAGCCTGGCAGGCCTGCAGCATTCGCACACATGCAGAAGAAAGCAACCTTGCAATGCAAAGCTATAGTACATCAATCCATTGTGCTAACATTTAGCTTTAAATATGCACAAGCAGCAAAAACACTGTGTGAGTGTGAGACGAGCAGACACACACTCTACTTATGCAACTTGTAGCTTTATGCCGGTGACTGAGAGCGAGGCCATGTGATCGTCCCGCAAACATGACAGCTGAAGATTGATGACAGACTCACATGACACACGGAGTTATGAAAGTGCGCAGTGGAGGAAGGACGCTACGCCAATCGGGAACCTGAGACACTACTTCTCCTGTAAACTACCAAGAAAAAAGGATGACTGTAAATCTGATGTGGCACATAGTTTTGTTCTGCAATATGCAACATCATGCATTTTCCCAGAGGGAGGAGGAGATATGGCTCAGCCAAAGGTGTGCTGCATGCTCAAATCAAATATGATTCACTAAGTCTACATTTTATTTTAAGTTTGCCGCACAATTCCCATTCAGGACCAACTTAAAATTGCACTGTGCGCCTGCGTCAGCTATGAGCTAGCTGATAAAATGCTATATTGTCTTCTGGTCAACACAACAGCCATGTCACATGTTCTTCCTAACAACATCAAGGCTGAAATATATAGTATCAGTATTAGCTCACATGCATGAAACCTCTTTCTTTCTTTTGGTTTTGAGGTCTTATAAAAAAAAAAACGGTGTGCAAAAACAAAGGCTGCCCACACCCATCATATCCTCTCTCTTGCTTACACACACACACTCCCTCCTTTTCGTATCTCAGCACGAACACAGCCATATTGAGTAGTACGGCACAGGTCAAGAAGGAAGTTCCCCCAGCAGCCAGCAGCGGCAGGGGGCAGCCAGGACGAGCAGTCTGGTCGTGGGTGGGGAGGACAAAGCTACTGGCTGACGATCAGGCCTCTGAGCGGCTACAGGATGAGCCAGGAGCTCTCGGTGTAATGTACAGTATGCCGGCCCTTGTCAAGTGCCGCAGCCAGGGAAACAGGAGAGGCTTTTCGGGCTTTCCTCCCAGGGTTTGCCAACCTGCTGCCCTCTGTGGTATTCTGGAGGGCACAGTGCGGTGTTGTGACAGAACTTTGGGTGATGCATTAAGCAGGGCAACTTTTTCTTATTCATCACCTGCAAGACAGTTGAGTAGGGCACTATATAAAGCCCACACATTAGCCAACTCTTTGGGCTGACGTCTTTACTGATATACTGATATACAACAAAATACAAAATACACAGAGAGAGATTAATAATTGTCAATGTACATTTTGTTTT